CGGCTGGGACGCTCGCTGCAGCGAAGTCCGGCCCGCGGGGCGCGGCGCGTTGGGGCGGCTGCCTCGGCCTCCCCTTCGGGTCTGGGCCAGCACTCCCAGCCCCAGGCTTGTGGCGCTCGTGAAGGGGCTGAAGCAGGAGAAGCAGGGAGAGTCCGGTGCAAGTGATCTCACCGACGGTCACCGGCCCTCGGGAAATGATTTCCATCTCGTGGCGGGAAGAGAACCCAGAAGTTGTGTGGCTTTCCCTGGGATAACTGGAATCCGTGATGTCTGCTTCTAGATCAGCTCCCGGAAGTCCTCCAGGCTGTCAGGGTGAGAAATGGAGGCGACTCCCCGCGTCAGGCTTCCCTGGGGCTCCCACAGTGGTTAGAGACCCTTCCTCATCTTGTATTTATGTTTCTGTTCCTTTCTCTGCTTACGTTCATTGGCTTGCTGTCCCCCTCCTGGAGCTCAGATTTCTTTTCTCCCACAGAAAGAGATACATACCCCTGGCCACGCTCTTCCAGTGAAATGTCATCCTTGGAAGCTTAGAGGTTCCCGTTCACCGAAGTAGCTGAGTTAATGCCCTCCACAAAACCGTGGACTCCTTGAAGCCAAGCTCATTGGTCTCCCTGAATGAAGAACTCTTAAAAGGCCATTCCCTACACAAGACTGGTCCTACTAATGCGCTCCCCAAATAGATTCGAAACCGTTTCGTGATGGCTTAACGAGCCCCAACCCAATGGAAGCTTCTGCCCAATTTCCCACCTAGGGCAGCTTTACCTCGCAGATCCTGTAGCCAAGCCTGGCGTCGTTTTCCTTGCTCAACTGCAGCATCCTCCAGCTGTCTACATGATGGGTTTTGGAGTGGGAATCTGGGGTCTGTCTCCCCTTCTCTGGATTTTGGGGGGTTATCCACAGCCTCTGGCATATACAGCATGCTGGGAATGAAGCAAATGACTGTGCGGTTCCTGGGAAGAAAGGGTTTTGTTGAGATTTGATTCCTGCCTTTCCCCACGGCTGATGCATATGAGAATCCTAATACAGGGGAATGTTATGTTACCATAGATTTATCATCACACCTACTGTGTACACCATTACAAAAACCTACATGTGTTAAGCACTGACAATGCCCAAAACCCTGTTTCTAAGCACTTCCCACACATTACCCCCTACTCAAAATAAACTAAGGAAGGTACTATTTTTAGCCCCATTTTACAAATGAACAAACTAGCTCAGAGGGTAAACTAATTAGGTCACACTACAGTTAGGTGGCAGAGTGGCTACTGGAACCCAGGCAGGACAACTCCATTGCTTCAGTGCTTAAACACTGGGTCTTATGGCCTTGCAATTCTTTTTTTTTTTGAGTTGGAGTCTCACTCTGTCACCCAGACTGGAGTGCAATGGCCGCTCCCGGCCACTGCAGCCTCGACCTGCTGGGCCCCGGCGATCCTTCTGCCTCAGCCTTCCAAGTAGCTGAAACTACAGGTGCGCGCTACCACGTCCGGCTAATTTTTTTAATTTATTGTAGAGATGAGGTCTTGCCAAGTTGCCCGGGTGGGTCTCGAACCCACAGTCTCAGGCAATTCACTCACCTCGGCCTCCCAAGGCACAGGATTACAGGCGGAGCCACCGAACCCGGCTGGCCTTGCAGTTCTGACTTCATCTGGAAGTTTTACACTCCTCAGATTCAACTTGCCTAAAACCAAAACACTTTCAAGTGGCCAGCAGCCACCATTCGTTGAGATGTCTACAGTTCCTTCCAGGAATTTGACATGATTGCTCATGCTCATGACAACTCAGAATTGTTTTCACTTTGTGGGGTTCACTAACCCAATCAAGGTCAGGCAGTGAAAGTGGAGACCTTGCAGAGGGGTTGAACTTGGGCTTCAGATTCAGACTACTGGGTTTAACTCTTGCATCTGCCACATAGTGTGGGTGTGACCTTAGGCAAGATATTTGGCTTAGTTTCCTTGGGTAGGAAGGGGAACTTCATAGGGTTTGTTATGGGGATTAAATGAGTTAATACACATAAAGCATTTGACACTGTACGTGCTCAATAAATGTTACTTGGGGGGAAAAAGTGATACAGCCAGGATTTTATCCCAAGTCCCTCTGACATCAAAAGCCACACTTTTCATTCCAGCACTTTGGGAGGCCAAGGACAGAGGATTGCCTGAGCTCAGGGGTTCGAGACCAGCCTGAGCAACATGGTGAGACCTCGTTTCTACAATAAATTTAAAAATTAGTTGGGTGTCATGGCACATGCCTGTGGTTCCAGCTACTCAGAAGACTGAGGTGGAAGGATCATCTGAGCCCAGCAGGTTGAGGCTGTGATGGCCGTAAGCATGCCACTGCACTCCAGCCTGGGCGACAGAGTGAGACTACAACTAAAATAAATTTAAAAAGAAAAAGAAAAACTACACACGAAGGGATAAAAGACTGTTAGGTATTTCTTTTTTTTTTTTTTGAGTTGGAGTCTCACTCTGTCGCCGAGACTGGAGTGCAGTGGCCGCTCCCGGCTCTCAAACCCGCCGACTCAGGCAATCCACTCACCTCAGTCTCCCAAAGCACTGGGATTACAGGCTGAGCCACCGAACTCGGCTTCATTTTTTTTTTTGAGTTGGAGGCTTACTCTGTGCCGAGGCTGGAGTGCAGTGGCACGCTCATGATCACTGCAGCCTCAACTTGCTGGACTCCCCAATCCTTCTGCCTCAGCCTTCCAAGTAGCTGGAACTATAGACGCGTGCTACCTAGCCCAACTATTTATTTGTTTGTTTATTGTAGAGATGCGGTCTTGCCAAGTTGCCTGAGCTGGTCTCGAACCTATGGGCTTAAGCAATCCACTCACCTCGGCCTCCCAAAGTGCTGAGATTATAGGTTGAGCCATGAGCCCAGACTCCTCTTTCTCATTTAAAAAACATTTTCCAAGTCCCCTTCAGTGAGCATGGGATACCCCCACAGTGTAGAGAGACACACCATGATGACGCCCACATCCATCATATTTAGTCTGCCAGTCTTCCTTGGTAGTCACTTACATTCATTCCCTCTTTCACTCTTGTCTATTCTCACTTGCTGGTCTTGCTCTGGGTTCTCTGCCACCTTCCCCATGAACTCCAGGCCACCCTGCACATTGCCATGTGGCTCCCTCCTCCAGCCCTACCTTCATCTGCCCTTTACTTGTTCAGGCCCCCAGTAATGCCCTGTTCTGGCAGGGTGCACAGAGCCAGTTGTTCCCTGGATAGATTCATGAAGTTTGGTTTGTAAAGAGGCTGAGAGCGTCAGAGCTGGCAGGAGCTTCAGTTAAAATCATTCTCCTGCCGGGCTCAGTGGCTCAGCCTGTAATCCCGTGCCTTTGGGAGGCTGAGGTGAGTGGATTGCCTGAGCCCGTGGGTTCGAGACCCACTTGGGTAACTTGGCGAGAACTCATCTCTACAATAAATCAAAAAATTAGCTGGGCGTGGTAGCGCGCACCTGTAGTTCCAGCTACTTGGAAGGCTGAGGCGGAAGGATCGCCAGAGCCCAGCAGGTTGAGGCTGCAGTGGCCAGGAGCAGCCACTGCCCTCCAGCCTGGGCGACATTCTCCTTACATATAGAAAATAGGCCTAGAGACAGAGTCAGCTCCAGACTTCAGGAAAATCATTCTCCTTACATATAGAAAATAGGCCTAGAGACAGAGCGAGCTCCAGACTTTAGGTCTCTTGACTGCCAATTTTAGGCTCTTTCCATGATTCTGAACTGCCTTCCTGCAAAGCATTTGCAAATGATACTGTTTTCTAATTCTCTGCTGCAGTCCCAAGAGGGGCTGTCTGGATGAGTTTGCTGTTTAGTCAGGCCAAGTAGTTCACCTTCCCTTAAGATTTGGGAAGAGAAGGGCTGAGCTCTGTGCTACAGACTTCATTCCTATTTGCCGTATAGACAAGTAACAACCATTGCTCTTAGGAGTGGGTGGTTTGGTGAGAATACTCAGTTCTTTTTTTTTTTTTTTTTTTTGAGTTGAAATCTCACTCTGTCGCCCAGGCTGAAGTACAGTGGGACGCTCACGGCCCACGGCCACCACAACCTCAACCTGCTGAACTCAGGTTATCCTTCTGCCTTAGCCTTCCAAGTAGCTGGAACTACAGGCATGCGCTGCCACACCCAGCTAATTTTTTGATTTACTGTAGAGATGAGGTCTTGCCAAGTTGCCCAGGCTGCTCTGAACCTGCAGGCTCTGGCAATCCTCTCACCTCAGCCTCCCAAAGTGCTGGGATTATAGGCATGAGACACTGCACCCGGCTGAATAATCAGTTCTTAACACCACGACTAGAAGAGAAGCACTGAAGGCCTTGTCTTGGATGGAGTCTGGCAGTTTCTATAGGTAGGCGTGGTGGATCATCTACAAATGTGGCCACCAACTGTACCTTGCATTCTTGTTTGTGTGTGCTGCTCCTCCCACTAGGAGGGAAGGTGGAGTCTATTTCCCTTCTCTTTGAATCTGGAATTTACTTTGACCAATGGAATGTAGCAGAAGTGGTGCCCTGTGATTTCCAAGCCTGGGCCTTAAGAAACCTTGTAGGGACTGGACTCCTCAGCCTGTAATCCCAGCTCTTTGGGAGACTGAGGTGAGTGGATTGCCTGAGCCTACAGGTTTGAGACCAGCCCTGGCAACTTGGCGAGACCTCATCTCTACAATAAATGAAAAATTAGCCTGGCGTGGTAGTGCGTGCCTATAGTTCCGGCTACTTGGAAGACAGGTGGAAGGATCGCTGGAGCTTAGCAGGTCAACGCTGGGGTGGCTGTGAGTGCTGGGGTGGCTGTGAGTGTTGGGGTGGCTGTGAGCGTGCCGCTGCATTCCAGCCTGGGGATGGAGTGAGACTCCATCTCAAAAATAAAAAAAGAAAAGAAACCCGTGGCTTCCTTTTTTCTCCTCTTAAAGCCTGTTGCGATGTAAAGTTTGACTACCCTGGGAGAGAGAGAGGTCCCCTGAAGAGAGTGAAGCCCTGGAGGAGAGGGGCCCACTTTCTCCCAGCCACTCCAACCTCTAGCTAAGGAGCTGGGCGAAGGCACCTTGCATCCTTGGCCCCAGTGAAATCATCTCAGCAGAGACTAGCTGACTCTGCCAAATCCTGCCCAAGTTGCAGAATCATAACCAACTAAATGATTGTTTCTGTTTTAAACCTTTTAATTTGGGGTGATTTGTTATGTGTCAATCAACTGAAAATGAATGATGATACATTTACAAAATAAATTTTAGTTTTCATAATCTAAGTAAAAGCCCACTAATTCCCTTGATAACGCAGAAACAAGGATTTTTGGTAAGGAATTGGGGATAGTAATGCAATATTTTTCAAGATTAAGCCCCTGTCATTAGTTTAACTTTTATTTAAAGGAGACAGCCCTCTTGGATACTGCTACAGCCCTTAAAAGGATGTTTTTGAAGAATTCTACTAATGCCAAAAAATGCTCACAGTATTCCATCATAGTAGGTACCCTCTAAATGGCTCCCTTTTGGAAACTACCCTTTTATAATATCCCCCTGCCCCAAGTGTTCCTGGACCTAGAGACGTGCTTCTAATGAACAGAATAAAGCAAAAGTCATGAGATGTCACTCTTAGATTGGGTTATAAAAAGACTTTAACTTCTGTCTTGCACTCATTGCACTCTCTCTCCCCCCTCCCTTTCTTTCTTCCTGCTTTCCCTCACCCCTCCATCCCCTCCCTCTTCTTCTCCCTCATCCTCTCTCCCCTTCTCGCCCCCTCACCCTCTTATTCTCTCTTCCTTCCCCCTTCTCCTCCCCCTCTCAGTGCCCTTGGTATAGTGGAAACAAGATGCCATGTGATGAAGAGTCCTATGGA